TCACTCTCCTCTCTCCCTCTATCTATCCTCTCTCCTCTTCCTCTCTCTCTCTCTCTCTCTCTCTCTCTCTCTCTCTCTCTCTCTCCTGGCAGCCTGTCAGTATCTCCTGCAGCTCACTGATCCAGTAATGAGTGACCCGACAGTGAAGAATAAATATATGTATAACTAGTTTAGCTTGTTCCAAAGGTGGATAAAAGTGTGTTAGTCTAACTCTTGTGTGTTGCTCCGCTCACCGGTCCGTCACAGCGGGTGGAGCTGCAGGATTTCTGCTTCACACACGTTGCATACCGCTATTTTATTGTCTTTTTCGGACACCTTAAAATACTGGCAGACCGGTGAAGCCATTTTGGCGAGCTTGTTTTGCCGCGCACAGAGAAAAGTGTCATGTATTTTACGTCATGTGATCGGCTCTCCTGATCGGCATTTATAGAGAGCACCGATCGATCGGCAGAGAGTGAATATCGATCGGTGGCCGATCGATCGGAGCATCCCTAATATCAGATGATGCTAGCTGCAAGCAGGCTTTTAATAGTCAAGTGATGCTAATGTATTAGCATGTGTTTAGGACAGGGATAATCTCTTAGTTATCTTAATGTGTGAACGATTGCGTTTACATCAGAAGAACTTAAGAAGTCTGCATTCATAATCATTCTGCCTTTTGGAAAATATGAGCCAAAATGAGTACAAAGTCTTCAACGTTTGGAAAATGTTCAATTTGAATCATCTTGTTTTCGAGGTTAGAAAGATGCTTGATTATTGACCTCATCTGATGTGTCATAAATCTTGATTGATGACGAGTACAAAAGTTATAAGTTATAAATCACTTCATTGTCTTGTGTTCTATGGATGATTTATACAGGTAATATACAGTATTTTAAGTAACACTTGTCCCTACATGAGAACATATGTATTAAAAAGCTGACCTTGAGCTGTCTTTAGCACCAACATAGCTAATAATGCTTTTGATCAACTGGTCATTTTTCCACAGTTTCGGCTATTTAAAAGATCTAATGATTGATTTAAGTGTGTCTTTCTTCTTCCTCTCTGCACAGGAATGGACGCTGGAGGTCAGAATGGAAGTTCACCGTCTCCCCCTCCTCCACCCAAGTGGCAGGCATCATGAAAATCCAGGTACTTTTTTTAAATCATACACTCAGTGAAGAGGCACAAAGGCTTCTTTTGGTGTGTGTCATTCGTTCACAAATTCAGTATAACGTTGAGTTGGTGTTTTTCCATCTAGTCAGAACACAACTAGACAAAAAAGCTTGTTCTGTTTTGTCCCTTTTGGATCATTTCTGTCACACTTCTTCACTTCCTTTCACCAGAGTGTGTTTGTCATGTTTAGGAGTGTTTTTATAGATCCATTGAGATATCTTTGTGTCACCCACACAGCTCGTATTTCTCCCACTTCATGTTTTATTGTTCTGAGTTACAGGACTTTATGAACACAATAAAGAGAGACTAAACCTGTCATTGTTCCAGGTTCATTACTATGAAGACGGCAACGTTCAGCTGGTGAGCCACAAGGAGGTCCAGGAGTCCATGCCCATTTCTGTGAGTGGAAACAAACACAATTGAGGAAAATGAACAATATGTCAAATACAATCAGCCAATTACATTCAAGCAATTCAAATCACATATGTGACTGTTAACGTCTCATACATTAAACCTATTATTCTCACTGTCAGTTTTCTCTATTAAAGGTGATTTAACGTCTAAATATGCTGCTATGTTTGGCTAAAAATAGCCAGGGATGTTACTTTTCCTAATTATTTGCAGTGTGAAGGCGTTAGGTTGTGTATTCCCTAAGGTTTTAACAAATGCATAAAAACGACCCAGTCTTTTTCACCTGTAATTAATCACGTGTGTCTTTTCCTCTCAGAATGAGGCGTCAACTGCGAAGGAGTTTGTGAAGATCATGGAGGCTGCAGAGAACGATTACCAGGTATGAAACGATGGGAAACTGTTACTTGATACTTGCATATAGACTCTTATTGCACTATTTGCACTATTTCACTTTTTTAAACTGTTTTTCTTTTGTATTTACTATTTACTTGCACTATATTGCACTATATTTTTCTGTGTTATTGTGTTGCACTGTTGGAGAAGCCTGTGACCTAAGATTTTCATCGGCATAACTGCACTGTAGCTATGTTCGTATGACAACATAAAGAACCTTGAACCTTGAAATATGCAGATTTTAAACTGGGGAAAAAAGTTCCCCTTAGCTAGTTGTTTGAAGCAGACGTGTACATGAAGAGGATTTATGATTCTCACGCTCTTCAGGAACTTTATTCTTACCCCTAGATTCCACCGGGTCCGTCTGCGCCGCGGCGTTCACAGCGATCGCGGCCACTCTAGTCAATGGGTGCTATTCCACCAGACGCGCCGCGGCTCAGAAGCATCCCAGAAGCGTCTCTGCGCTGGGCTCCGCTCAAAATAGGATGCAAGTCTATTTTCGACGCGAGGCGTTGCATAGCGCCGGGCAGGAAGTGAACCGGTCAGAGCATCGAGTCAATCCCCAAAATAAACTAATTTTGCCGACCCTATCCCTCCGTAGTCTTTCAAGTAGGAGGAGAAATGCCAGCGTTCTCCTCCGGTTCACAGGCACTGTGTAAATTATATATATATAGAATAATTATGAAGATGAATGCATTTTTTTTACCACTAAAATACAGCAACACATCTTTGATTCATGTCGTTTATAACTGGAATATTACAGTTATTATTAACTTTGTCTGTACAAAGTAGCCTGTCCAGGAAATATGCCCAAATCAACAAAAACTGCGAGCCGGCAGGCAAGACGCTCCGCTTCTGAAACGCGCCCGGTGGGTTATGACGCTGGAGGAGGTCGGACCAAAACCGCGGCGCAGACGGACCCGGTGGAATCCCGGGGTTACAGATTTATTGATTTAAAGTGTTGGCGTGAGTTGCAATCGACTCAAAAAGAGACATGAATATCACTTTCTTGTCAGGATGAAATGATGAAATCCTTCACTCTCACACTGCAAACCTCCATCACAGGACTTTCATCATGAAGTCAGATTTGAGGCTCAAACTAAGTCAAACGAGGAGATATTTGAACGTTGTACTTTTCAAGAGTAAAGTGCACTTTCATGGCCATCCATTTAATGTTTAAGGTTTTTGACTTTTCAGTATTTGAAGAAAACAAGCCAGTCTATTTCCTCTTTTCTGAGATTAAACTCTAGTCCACATTCAGGGATTAAACTCTGAATTATGAGATTAAAGTCAGAAAATATTCAAAAATCTTTTGAAAAAATCTTTAATTTCAGAATTATCGTTTTTTTCGCAGAATTAACTTTTTTAATTTTTTACTTTTAATTTTAGTGCTTACAATCCAGACAAAGTGAAATATATGAATATAATAAATATAAATAAGTGAACTCTAACATCTTCCCTTCATTTAAAGGAGAGTAGGTCTTGAAGCACACTTTGGGAACAGAAGGACATTTAATTGTACATATTTTCTTATAATTTCACACAGGTGTACGAATATAAACAAAGACTTTCTCTGGTTTTAAGTTTTTCGGTCAGATCTAAAAAATAAATTCACATGGGTCCCTAATCCTCTTCTGTCCCTTGGAGTCACCTTTTGTGGATGACAAGTGCTATATAAATAAAGTTTGATTTGAATCCTCTACCCTTCCTCTTTGTGTTCGTCCTCCTCGCAGACGGCCATCAACGAGAACTACCAGACCATGTCGGACACTACCTTCAAAGCCTTACGCCGCCAGCTTCCTGTGACGCGCACCAAGATCGACTGGAACAAGATCCTGAGCTACAAGATCGGCAAAGAGATGCAGAACGCTTAAAAACACCCCGCAGAGAACATAACAGCCCCCTCCCCTCGCCCCCCTACCTCCACCTCCACCTCCACCTCAAACAACGTTGCATGACTGGATAGATGTATCGTCTTTGTACAGAAAATTAGAGAAACTGGGACAAAGAGAGGTTTCTGGGTGTCGCAGCCCGACACAACGTTACACATTGGATGTTATTGTTTTTATACAGACACATCTGTATAATGAAGGAAATATCACAAGACATAGGAAAAAGGGGGCACTTGTATGCAAAAAAGATCCTTATAAAATATCACGTGTGCAATATTTATTGTGTCAGTGAGACCTTTTTTTTTTTTTTTGACCTGCGGAGAAAACGAGACATTTGTTTGAATTTTACAAAGGAAATGAGATATTTGGCTGTAAACAAAGACTCCCTTCACTTCATGGTTAATGTCGATAAACAAAAAAAGTGTGTTATTGAATGGTATCTTTGGCACAAGCAGTCACAAAATCAATGTTTTCTCCCTTAATTGTGGTACTTCCCCCTCACAGTTTGTCCTATAATCCAGATTGAAGCGCTCCTGGCTCAAATTTGCCTTTTTTTTTTTTGGTCAGAGTTCAGTGACCAATTAACAAGCTTAATTAACACCAGTCGCTAAGTAATGTGCATAATGTCCAATTTACAATAAAATCAGAACGTATCACATTCTCCTCCAGTGCTTATTTTTATTAAAAAAAGAAAACAGAACCTGACTGTATTATATAACAAGGCACATTGTAATATATACCTGTATGAAACATCCTGTCTGTCAGTTTGGTGATTTATTTCCATGAGATTAATTGTAATTCAGTCACAATTATGTTGCATTAAATGACACATTTTCTATCTGCTGACTCTCATGTTTTTCTCGTACCCTTTATTGTGATAAAAAGTAATAAACTCAAGTGTAATATTAGGAAATTCATTTCATTTAGGGTTATTTCACTGCACTTTGTCCTAAAAGCGGCATGAACAGGTACGTTCTATTAAGATGACTGCACAGATGTGTCTTTAGTGCACTCTATAACCCTATTTAAGTTAAATAGGTGAATATATATATATATATTTTTAAATATTCACTTGATGGATGAGAGTCAGGGAGCTCTTGAAGTACAGTTTCCGAAATATAATGACTTATGATTTACTAATTTGCAATTCCACGTATCGGGACTGTTCATAATTAGCAAGAAGAACAGTTTAAAAATAACTGGATGAGATGTTGTATGAAACAAAGACTTCCTCTGTGTGGTTTCATGTATTTTATTAACTGATTAATTGTATGAGGTCAAATGACGATGAGAACACTGCAGATAAAGGATGGTGTTGATGCCTTTTCTTCAAGATATGAACATCTTAAAGGTCCCATGTCATGCTTTTCCAGTTATTACCCGTCCCCTTGTGTGTTATGAAGGTTTTTATGCATGTAAACGGTCTGCAGAGTCACAAACCCTCAAAGTACACCCTGAAGCGAGTAAAACTAACACAGAAAAAACCTGTCTATGCTGCCCCAGAACGCCTCGTTGGAGATTTCTAATTTTCTTCCTGGGTACAGTGACGTGCCCATACCCAAGTGGACCCATTGGTCCAAATGGACCAATCCGTGGAGCTCCTCACACACACACACTCTCTCAGCGGCAAAACTGTGATGCGTTTTGGGGGGGGGATGCTAGTGGAGCCTCGCAGCGGCGAAACTGTGGCACGCTTACACTGTAGGTGCGCCGCGTTTCGGGGTGCGGGGCGGGGGGTGCTGGTGCTAGTGGAGCCTCGCAGATTGGGGTGCTGCAGCCCCCTCAGCACCCCCGTCCCGTCCCGTCCCGCGTCCTTTCGCGATGTCTCGCTGTCTCGCAGACCCTACGCAGCAAGCAGGAAATTAACCCAGCTCACACTGTCCGCTCCTCGCGGCAGCGAGCCGCGCAACGTCCCGCCGACACGGCACCCAGACCCCACGCAGCATTCTCATCTGTTTGTCATTACTGGTGTTATTTTCTGGTTGCTAACAAACGCCATTGTAACACATAATCACTGATGTTCCGCTGTAACGGTGGTGGACTCATCAGAACAGAGTGGGCGAGCTGACCAATCAGAGCACAGTGGGCTCATAGGGAGGGAGGGGGGGGCAGGAGCTCCAACAAGCCGTGTAGGACAGAGAGTGAATACACATACTATACAGAGATGCTGTATGAGAAACCAATGTGAGTTCGGAACATTGAACAATGTAAATCTATTCTAGTAGACCTCAACAATGGAATTATGATCAGTAGAAATGGCCATGACATGAGACCTTTAAACTCACCACTTTGAACACAAATGTATGTATATTCAAGTTAGTATGAAAATTGACACTACTTTTTTATTGAGGAGAAATGTGATGATTATGGCAGAGAAAGAACCAGACAGAACTAAGTTTAACTTCAATTGTACAGTAATAATAAGCGACTCTTGTTCTTGTTATAAAAAGAGTGACTTCACATTTGCTTCCATTAATTTTCCAGTTTGAAACTCTTCATTGTTGTTCATCATGGTACAACAAAGGGATCCTGTTATATTAAATCTGTGTTTCCATGGGTAACTCACCTCTTTGAGGGACATTTGAGGGAAATATTTTAAGCTACATGTGACGCTACATTTAGGAAATACATTTTAGAAGCATAGTCCTGTAGACATAAATATATATATAATTAAAATGTTTTTGATATTTGCCTGATGTGCAGAAGAATAACGCATGCGCAGAAGGACGAAGTTTGGACCATTACACATTCGGCAGTTGACCACCTGCTAACGCTCCTCTCATTGTGCAGTAGCATTAACGGTTTATGTATGCCTTTTCCCATTTATTATAAAGCTCAAACATATGATTGTAAATGATATGATAGTTCTGAGTTGCTCCAGGTTACATTTGCGTTAAGACGATACAGGTAAATCAGTGACAGCGATATCTAGAGGCGAGGGGAGGTAACTGTCCAGGTTAGCGAGCCGGTGGCTAGCTGTGAGCTAACGCTAGCCAGACACGTCTACAGCACTCAGTCTGCTGCTGCTGCTGCTGCTGAAAATACACACATGTTGGGCTGCTGCTGGAAGAAATGCCCGCTACCAAGAAGGATTTAACACACTTCCCACACATCGAGGTAAGCTCACACACACACACGTGTAGTGTTAACGAGTCACAGTGTGTCCACGTTTATATAAAAAAAGTTAGTTTTACAAACCAGCTCTTGTTAGCAGTTAGCTAGCAGAGGCTAACACGTAGCTAAGTTTAAATGGGAATCCTCATGCATGGAAAAACAGAATCAGAAGTCAGATTCATAATTCCTTTATTCGTCCTACAAAGGGGGCATTTACGTTGTTACAGCAAAGTATAGATAGAGACGAAGAAAATAGGCATGCACATAGTATTTATATTTGTTACAATTTCCAGAATTACACATTCAGGTAGATGGTAAGTAGCAGCAGTATTTATCAAATAAATAAAACATGTAGATGTGGTTTATAACAGTATTATTATTATTATTATTATTATTATTATTATTGCACATAGTTACTTAGGTTCCTGTTGCAGTAATGGATGGATTAACTATGAGTAGCAGCCAGTAGTAATAATAATATATGCAGAATATATTGCACATATGTGCTGTACAATGTAACAGTGGTGTCATAGTCTTTGCAAACATGGAACAACATGCTAATTGACTAGTTCTAACTACATAATGGGGCATCAATCATTCCGAGCATGTAATTGGTTTTCCTGGCAATACACCATAGCTGAAGAGAGCAGAGTGTATTGTTGTTTAATGGTCTCCATCATGAGTCAATATCTCTTATCTGGCACTGCAGAGTTTACACTGTCAGCCGGTGGTGTTGCTGCTTCATGCTGTCTGTCTGCAGGGGGAAAGCCATCTGCATGTAAAGCAGACTTTAAACAAGACATGTGACTCAGATCCAGAGGTGGAAGAAGTACTCAGATCTTGTACTTGAGTAAAAGCAGAAGTAGTCAGATCTTGTACTTGAGTAAAAGTAGAAGTAGTCAGATCTTGTACTTGAGTAAAAGCAGAAGTAGTCAGATCTTGTACTTGAGTAAAAGCAGAAGTACTCAGATCTTGTACTTGAGTAAAAGCAGAAGCACTCAGATCTTGTACTTGAGTAAAAGTAGAAGTAGTCAGATCTTGTACTTGAGTAAAAGTAGAAGTAGTCAGATCTTGTACTTCAGTAAAAGTAGAAGTAGTCAGATCTTGTACTTGAGTAAAAGCAGAAGTAGTCAGATCTTGTACTTGAGTAAAAGTAGAAGTAGTCAGATCTTGTACTTGAGTAAAAGCAGAAGTAGTCAGATCTTGTACTTGAGTAAAAGCAGAAGTAGTCAGAACTTGTACTTGAGTAAAAGTAGAAGTACTCAGGTCTTGTACTTGAGTAAAAGTACCAGAGTGTAGGAATACTCTGTTACAGTAAAGGTCCTGCATTCAAAATGTTCCTCAAGTAAAAGTAGAAAAGTATTATCATCAAAATATAGTTAAAGTAGCGACAGTAAAAGTAGTCATTGTGCAGATTGGTCCATTTCAGAATAATATATATGATATGTTTTATAATGATTGATCATGAAAGTGTTATCAAAGCTGGTAAAGGTGCAGCTAGTTTGAATGACTTTGTATACTGCAGGGTCGCTTGTGAATTTACTCCAGGTGGAACTAAAGTCTGATTTAACACTTGATTATATTTCACATCATTCATCCAGATCTGTAAAGTAACTAAAGGTATTCAATAAATGTAGTGGAGTAAAAGTACACCATTTACCTCTGAACTGTAGTTGGGTATAGTACAAAGTAGCAGAAAATAAAGTGATGTACTTATGTTAAGTCCTTCACAATTGTACTTAAGTACAGTACTTGAGTAAATGCTAAGATCCCAAGTTACCCACTGCTTGTTGGCCTGGTGGACCTCATGTTTACCTCCGCTGGGACTCACTGTGGCTCAGTGGTGCAGTTGGCATTACGCTCTCTCTCAGCAGCGGTGAGCCTCTTGTGACTGTGCTGAGCAGCAGATGGAAGAATGTGCTCTTTGAGAAAGCCAGCTGGCTCTAACCAGAGAAGGCAGGAGAGTATTTAGGCTCTGGTGGAGGAGCGTAGTGTGTGTACGAGTTGGGTCTGAGCAGAGAAGGCAGGAGAGTATTTAGGCTCTGGTGGAGGAGCGTAGTGTGTGTACGAGTTGGCTCTAACCAGAGAAGGCAGGAGAGTATTTAGGCTCTGGTGGAGGAGTGTAGTGTGTGTACGAGTTGGCTCTAACCAGAGAAGGCAGGAGAGTATTTAGGCTCTGGTGGAGGAGCGTAGTGTGTGTACGAGTTGGGTCTGAGCAGTCGTAACCAAAAGCATGTATGGTAATGGAGGTTTATGTGACAGGTTTAATGTGTGCTGCTGATTCTCACCGTGTCACTTGTTGCATATGATAGGTGTTAATGTGCAGCGTGTATGTATGTAATACTGCAGCCGTCCAAGTTGTGTGACTAAGTCCTTCTACATACCTCTGGATTAGTCTATATCATTCTTTCCCCCCCCTGCAAAACTGGTATTTTAAACCTCTCAAATATCGAACCTTCTTTGTTTTGATATCCTAATTAACAGACATAAATAATCTTAAAATAAATAAATAAATGTCTCAGTTTGGGATCAATCAATAAATCGAATCTAGTCTAAAATCTTCGTGTTTTTCATAATATTATAACATATTGTAAAATACAAATTTTTACACATTTAAATGTTATATATTGTACAATGTGCATATTCTTACTTTGTTTATAGAAATACAATTTTTTATCCAACCTTTTATTATTCCTATTTTTATAGAAATATGATCTTTTATCACCCCTTTT